CCCTTTTTTCTACTGGGAGTGTATGATATTCTGGAACGACTGCAAAGGTGTCGAAATGGTTCATCGATATCCTTTTCGACCATTTTAGTTTGCTAATTTCCGGTGGGATCACCTCTCAAATATTGGCTATTTCGAAGATTGTATTTAATAATTTTGTAAAATGACTTTTAACAATGATATGAATAAAACAATCATTTGGACATTTTTATTTATTTGACCTCTTTGTTTTAAATGAGTTAATTTCAACTTTTCATACTTAAAAATTATGTCTCAGAGCTTGCCCTGAATTCACAAACTCATTTTTATAATTGCTCGTAAGAAAGAGTTTTATGCAAATTTAAGGATCTTTTATATTAATTATTATATTTATGATGGAAGTAAGAACAATACGGTCTGTCGTTCGACCGGTAAATTACGTAACAGGTTTTAATAAATACCTGACCGGAGAATCGCATTCTGAGTAAATGATAAAAACCCATTCTATTAATCATTCCTGATAAATTACTTTTTTGTTACTAGATTATCTCAAGAAACTCTAAAAAAAAAAAAAACAAAAACTATATTTCTGATTTTCTGTAAACATGTTCAATATTATCCGTGCAAATTTTACTTGCCACTTACGTTCTACTGGTGCGTCTTCTATACAATTTTATTTATTAATCATTTTTCATTTGTTATTTAGAATTTAAGATACGTTTCTTCTGACACCAAATCTGGATCTTCCACTGATAAAGCAACATTTAATGGTATGTTTCCTATATAACCTTTTATTTGTTATCTATTGTGTCTTTATAATGTATTTGTTTGTTTAGAACCAACGTCGTCTTTTGAACATGTGACTCGTGAAAGCGATATCCATAAATCTCCTAATTGGGATCAGAATTTCAATTTCACTCTAAAGGAACTGGGTCATCCATCATTTTTGTTGAATGATCCTGAACTTTTAAATAAAATGCATGATAGTGTCAAGTTTGGCGCTGCAGACCACAAAAGGCGAAAGGAAACAATTAAAGTACAGACCGTCAAACACCTTCGTGAGGAAATGGAGGAGAATTACAATATCTATATGGTGAAGTCCACATTGCAAAACTATATACAACCCAGACATTCAGCAACAAAAGAGGCCCAAAGACATCATCACCCTGCACAAATCCGTTTAGCAGCTGTTGGAAGAAATAAAATAAGTAGTTATATAGATGAGCATTACTGCTTAGCTTCAATCAAAAGCGTAAAATTATTTGCATCAGCTTTTTCTAGAGATGTTGTATTAATTTCACAAGATGACAAAGCAAAGTTACTTATTTGCAACCTTTTTTTTAATATTATATTTCAAATGTTTAATTCTCAAAGTTCTGTAGATTCCTATTAGTGTAGCTGCAGTCGAAAGAACATTTAAGGCTGTTCAAACAGCAAGTGAACCAGTATCTGTTCCTGATCATGATTTTTCTAAAGCTTCAAAGCATAAGCTAATTCTATCTGTCTATCTAATTATCGATCCTTCTGATACAACTTTATTATGCTTCAGAAAGATGTGAATTTTTATCTGTCTAGAGTATTTTTTTAGGTACAAACTGTGAAACACATATGGTTGATCTTATGTCAATCACAAAGGAAGAATCTTTTAATGAATTTACGCATTATGAAGGTTCCGTGAAACCTTTTTAGTGTTTATTAACAGATGGTAGTTCAGACGAAAATTCACGATTTCTTGTCAATATTTCAAAATATTTATTGCTTTTTAAAAAACTTGACCTAGATTATCATACTGTTCGAATACATGCATTAGGGCAGTCTGCTTATAATCCAATGGAGCAAAGTATGGCATCACTTTCTAGTAAATTGGCTGGTATTGAACTAAATGCATTTACATATAGGAAACATCTCAGAAGTGTTAGTGAAAAAGTTGCTGTTGTGAATAAAGATTTTGGACGTCATAACTTTAAACATGTAGGAGAGCATTTATATGAACTTTGGGGGCGTAACAATATCAATATTCATCCAGTTATTATCACATATATTGAGAAACATAATCAATTGGATTTTTTAAATATAAATGAAGAATCATAGGATTAGATCGATAGACATAGCCAAATTTGCAAGTATTCTTTTGACTTAAGAAAGTGTGAGGATTGAAATTGCTGCAGGCAATCACGTACATCCGAAATTTATAATCTTTTATTCAGAAACAATAGTTTTTTACCACCTGTCATACAAGACCTTGATGGTCATTTTCTAAATTTAATTCATACTTTAGAATATTTTGAAAAGAAGTTATCAGGCTATGATGAACATTGTCCTAGCGTAACTTCAGATTTATATTACAATCTTATATGTCAAAAATGCTTTAAATATTTTTCATCAAAAGTGTTTTTGCAGCAGCATACTAAAACAACTCATCCAAAAGAAAAAACAAAAGTAAGAATTAATGATAAAAAATCTGAAAATTTATCATAAAATGATAAATGCAGTGGTCATATGAAGAATATATTTACAAAGGAAAATAAAATGACAATTCACAAAATCAACAGAAAAAGGCAGTAAAGAAAAGTAAAAGCAAAGCAAAGAGTTTGCAACAGCAAAACTCAATAGCAAAACCATGGGAGCAAAGTCATCTTACATTTGATATTAATGATTTTTAATTGTAATATTTTATTTTATTTTTTTTAATAATAAAGAAAAAACAATATAGCAACTTTAATTAATCATTCTATTTTTTACTGTTCTATTTTTTTTTTCTCACCAAGTTTAAAAGTTTATTTTTATTAAATTTTCACACTAAATTTAAACTAAGATTTTTTTACTGTTCTATTTTTTTTTTCTTACTAAAATTTAAAAGTTTATTTTATTAAAAACTTTTTTTTACCAAATTTAAAGACCGTCACGTAATTTTTTGATTTTCCTTAAATGGAAATGATGACAGAGGTTCAAAATCCCAAAAATTAAAATGACGTTATTTCTGGTTCTCCCATAACAGACATATCTACCTTATAGAAATTGATATACATCATACCAAATTTTCACTAGCACTTGACATTTTGATCAATTAAGGAATTATCCATGTGATAAATAATATGGGACCTTTACAATAGAAAGGAAGAAAATTTTCCCAAAAATGAAAAATGAGTTTTTGCTAAATTTGAATATATTTCTGCATAGGCTACATTTTCAATTATAAATGTAAATTAGTTTGCATGATAAAAAATTCGATAAAAGCAAATATTACACTAAAATAATTGACATCTAAAAATAGTAAGGAGTCAATACAAAGTTACACTAAATGATCAGAATCTAAAAATAGATTTGTAACACAGTTTTCTTTGCAATAGAAAGGGAGAAAACTCTATTTTTGATAGCTTTGATAGCTAATATAAAAAAATAGTACATTTTTATAATTGAACAGAATTTTTATCAAATTATTTAAAACAATTCTTAATATTTTAAAATACCATCATTTTATTTTTTATAATAATAATGTAGGTAAAGTAAAAGTAAAAAAAACAATTGATGGGGATGAGCAAATTGTAGATATTATAAAAAAAAGAAATTAGAGGATTTTTACAAGAAATTTTTCCTGCAGGATTATCAGCCAAAAGGCAATAATATTTATATGAGCAGATACGTTAACATATCAGAGATCTTCAAAAGCAAAATGATTATTGTCCATTACCAACCGTTCAAAAATCAAGTAGATAAATAATTTTACTTTTTTTTTAATAAAAAAATGATTGAAAAAATTTTTTTTTTGATTTTATATTACGTCATTGTTATTTAAAATTGATTTCATAAAAATGTTTATGTAAAAATTCTTCAACCAATAAAAAGAACACTATTCCTTATAAGGTTCGTTCCATCTGATTAAATCCATAAAATGACCAAAAATCCATTTGAAAAAAAAGAGAAAAAAGAATGATTAGTTACTGAAAGAAAGAAATTAACTTGTTCATAATAAAAAACTTACAAGTTCGCTTAAGAAAGTCCAAGCAAATTCCTTAAAAAAGATGAAAGAAAATAATGGTTAGTGCCGTTCTAAAAAAAGAATTAATACACACACCTATAAAAAATTTACCACAAGTTTGTTTCAAGAGAAAGTCCAAGCTGATTTCTAAAAAAAGAAGAAAGATAATACCGTTCTAAAAGAAAGAATTAACACACTCATAAAAAACTTACCACAAGTCCATTTTGGGAAAAAGTCCAAGCCGATTCCTAAAAAAAAGAAGAAAAAACTGTTAGTACCGTTCCAAAAGAAAGAATTAACACACCTATAAAAAACTTACCACAAGTTTGTTTTGAGAAAAGTCCAAACTGGTTCTTAAAAAAAAAAAGAAAAAAAAAACTGTTAGTACTGTTTCAAAAGAAAGAATTAACAACCCATTCATAAAAACTTACTACAAATTCATTTTGAGAAAAAGTTCAAGCTGATTCCTAAAAAAGAAAAGAAAAAAAAAACGATTAGTACCGTTCCAAAAGAAAGAATTAACATATCCATAAAAAACTTATCACAAATCCATTTTGAAAGAAAGTCTAAGCTGATTCCTAAAAAAAAGAAGAAAGAAAAACGGTCAGTATCATTCTAAAAGAAAGAACTAACACGCCCACCTATGAAAAACTTACCCTAAGTCTGTGTTGAGAAAAAGTCTAAGCTGATTCCTAAAAAAAAAGAAAGAAAAGGACGGTTAGTACCGTTCTATAAGAAGATCTATTTTAATTTTAATATCTATTTTTAATACTGTGGATTGTCAATAGCATGATAGAGTTTCTCCCTGATTGGCTCTAATTAAAAGTGATCAACGCGTAATCAACATGACTGTGATTAGTCAAAAATTGTACACAAAATTTGAACTACTATCCAAACTCACGTGTTTTAACATTTATGGTTTTAGAAATATTTAGAAATATGAAAAAAAAATTTTGGACTGTGCTCAATAGTGAATTGCATATATAAAGATAGTACTTTTTGCTTAATTACAGAACTTGCATACCAAAAATGTTATAAGGAAAATATGTTAGAAACATATCCTTACCTTGAAGTAGGAAAACAGCTTTGTCATATACATTATTGCAAAGTAGTGGAGCCTAATCATGGAAACATACAGTATAAACAGAAGAAATAGTTAAAGAACTAAAAAGGCTATAAAAAAAGAATTGCACATGAAGAGTCTCACTCAGTTGAAGAAAATAGTATTGAAGGTAATATAATTAATATTAACTATAAAAACTTCTTATTAATATCTAATTTTATTAATCTTTTCTATTTAGTTTTAATAAATGATTCTATATTTGCATCAAATGTAAAATTATTAACAAATGTATTATATAATAAGCAACGTCGGGAGTCTGCTAATTTGGAATTAGATCTAATACAATTTCAACATATGATTGAAAAAGCCAATCCCAAACTAATAGGATTCTTTTCTTTGATGATAAATGCAATTATTCCTAAGGATCGATCAGCATATAACAAACAAAAAGCAAAAAAATTAATTGTTGCTTTATGTTATTTGATTTCTGGCTTGCGTAACAAATTTGTTAACTAATTCAAAATAGAGGTTGGGTTATATTTAGCAGCATCAGGTGCTACTTGGGAAGCAATTGATACATTATCAAGTTTTGGATATTCAGCATGCGCTAAGACAGTTACGGACTTTCAAAAAAAATTCAAGCAAATCATATAATTAAAATTGATAACTATTTTTTAGAAAAAGTAGTTTTTTTTTTATCATATGTATTATGATATTATAATTTGTAAAATTGAGAAGTTGTTTTTTTATTAGGAAGACTGCTTACATATTTACAACATAGATGATTACCATAATATTCATGAAAAGCGAAGGCCAGATACAACATCAACATCAATAGCAAAGCATTTTGCTACTTGTGTAGTAAAACCTGTTATAGGATGTCTTGCAATACCAATAGTATTCAATGAGATACCCATTCACAATCCAAATAATGTTGAAGCATTAAAGATTTGTTGGTACTTGCTTAATAAATATACTGGGATTTTTGATATTACATATACAGAGCATCAGTCATTTTGGATTTCACAAAGACATCAAAACATTAATATATTTGATTGTATTGAACTTTTAACTGTTCATAGTTATGATAATTCTATTGCAGAGAAAAAGATGAAAGATCAATGAGTAGACTTCAATTAATTGGTTTTAAAACATTTACATTCAATGTAAGATTATTTAAATGCATTGCAAATTATTTTAAATGTAAGTGAGAAAACAAAACATTTGGAAAAACAAGTTGCTTCAATTGTTGCTGATTGGCCTGGGCAGTTATTTATTAGAAAAGCATTGACACATTTGCATATATCAAAACAATCTACTATTCCAAAAGAAATTGAATCATTTATACCAATGCTAGGACCACTTCATCTTTCACTTAACAGCAGAGAACATATTATCATTATTTATTACTCTTTTTTTGAACAAATGTTTCATTTTGTATTTGGTGAGCGTAAAAAACTAGCTAAGAAACCTAAACCTTGGCGAATAAACCTTCTTTTAGAGCTTATGCGAAATGGTTGGATCAAAATTAAAAATGAAATTATGCAAAAATTTGGTTTAGCATGTAAGGATGTTGAATATCAAGCAACAATTGATTTGCTAGATAATTTAATACCAGCAACACTTGATGTTTATGCAATTTTATTTCGATCTGGGTCATTTGAAGAATATATAGAAACTGTATTTCGTATTTGGATGTTTGCGCTACGTTAGAAACGTAAAAATTATAATAAAGCACCCCTTGTATTTTTGTCAGATATATTCTATTGGCAGGACAACCATTACCCATTTGCTGATGCAATTAAAAATTACTTATCATGTTTTAATGACTATTATGTTGAAAACACTTATAGTAAAATAAGAGCAAACACCTCTTCAAATGCAACAGTTGAAAGTATCATAAAACAGGCATATGTTATTGGTATATGTATACCTAACTTGTATTTTATTAAAGATAATAAATTATTTTGTACTTATTTTTTTAATATTGATATAAATAGCGGACCATGATCCTATTTTTAAAGATACATATTGCAAAACCCGTCATTATCCATACAATTCGTCTACACTTGATTTTTTGTCCAACAAAACCAGTCTTTTCCTGTTAAAATACTTTTGTAGCATATTTCAAAACCAAAACAATAGTATTCCATTATATACTGATGAAAAAAAGAAAAAATTAAAAGGATATAAATTAGCTACTTTGGGAAAAGAAGTAGACTTGCGTTATCTTTCAACAGCATACAGTACATCACGTCCTTCACAATCAGGATTATGTGATTGTTGCAGACTCCAATTGAATAATGATGATGTAGTGCCGCTAACTTGTGGCCATGGTTATCATTCAACTTGCTACAGTAGAAGATGTATTTATTGTGAAAATTTTTATAAAAATGGTGTTTTTGAA